ACATTGTTGCAGCTCTTGATGATGATTTTGACTTTGATGACCCAGAAAACCTCCTGGACGATGACTTTATTCTTCAGGCTAACAAGCCGACAGGCGGCGAGGGGATGGACATGCTGTATGTGTGGGTCTTACCAAGTGTGTAAGGGTAGGAGGGAGCCGGAGGGAGGACCATGTTCTGACAGGAAGACTTTTGAGAACATGTAGTCCAAGACATCTGCAGTAGTGCAGAAAATAGTTAAATTTGAACATACTATCAGTAAGGGAAGCTGAGATCTCATAGTCCTGGTGGTTGATGGCTTTTCCCACTATGCCAGGTTAGTCTAGCAACACCTCAAATCCCGTTCCCTCTGGAGCCTTCCAGAAGTAGCTCTCAGTTTTATGTAAAGTTGCTGTGTCCTGTTGGTTTTTTAAGTTCTCTTGACGTGTGACTTATGCCCTGTTGGCTTTAGGGAGTCTGAGGGAGATGATGGCAATGAGTGGGAGGACATGGACGATGAGGACGGGAGTGATGACTGTAGCTCTGCTGGCCTTCTGTCAGATGAAGGTGACATGTCTGCCCCCGGCTCAACCCAGGCAGCCATGAAAAAGCACCTGTTTTGGGAAGAGGAAACCAAAAGCCGTTTCACAGAGTACTCCATGACCTCCTCAGTCATGAGGAGAAATGAACAGCTTACCCTACACGATGAGAGGTTTGAGAAGGTGAGGCCCCTGAGAAATGTCCTTGAGCACTTTCTCCACATGCAAGAGAGACAGTGGAGGCAAAGGTAAACCTTTCGGAAATAGAAACTGCATATCACATTAGCATAGATCAGAGCTTTACCCTGCTCTGGAAAGATCTATTAGGTCCCAAGAGTCTAACGTCCTGACATCTAAGGTTTGGTGTTCTGATTTTACATCTGACCATAAGAGTTAACTGGCTTAGCATAAACAAAATTGCATTTATGTTTTATTTTTTTAGTTCTTCTAGTATAATTAATACTAAAAACAAAGTAGAATGTGAGGTACTTTTAAAAGTTGAAGTATACCAGATTTGGCTTTTCTATGGCAGGTCAGCTCCTGGTTGGTGGATTATTCCTGCAGAATCTCTTCATCCATTCTGTCCTGCAGCTCTTACTACCTTCTGACACCCGTCTCTAATGTGCTTATTTATGTACATTATCTATAATTATAATCTGTAAGTTTGTATTGGGTTAGAATATGATTTTTCTGGGGCAGAGATTCTCAAGTATACATCCAAAGTCCTAATGTAGTAGTGCCTAGCATGTAGTAGGACTTGAAGCTTTTCAGTCACTAGTGAGCAAATGAGGGACTATCCTTCAGGGTGCATGAAATATATGAGTTCTCAGTTACACTATCACAAAATGTTAGTTACCCCCTTCCCTGCCAAGAGGCCATCTGTTAAGCACACTCACTCATCAGGAGATAAAGGGATTCAGATAAAACATAACAGTGTTAGCAGCATTTGAATAATAAACATCATCTGAACAAGAATGATATTTATATATTAGTTAGGCTTTGTTCCACAGCAACAGTTTAGTCTGCATTACTGAGGGATATGACATTATCTTTAAGGTGTTCTGAAGCAAAGACTTCTGCATGTTATTTTCTGATCTGAGTAGAATAAGCACTTTTATTTTCATGTTAAATAGAAGCTTGTTTTCGGACTAATTGTGAATCCCTGAAAATATGTATTCTTTGGGGCTGGAAAGATAGCTCAGGTCAAGAGTCCATGCTGCTTTTGCAAAGGATCTGAATTAGGTCCCAGCTACAGAGGACACCATGCCGTCTTCTGGTCTCTGAACACACTGGTACATGTACATACATTGAGACACATAAAAATAAGTCTTCATGCCATTGCCAGTGGTATTTCCTCTCTGCTGATGCATTAATGGTACTTACAAGCTTTTAGTAGTGCTGAAATACTTCGTAGGAGTAAAAACGTCTAGAGTGACTTGTCACGCATCTTTTTCGTTGTTTTCATTCAAGTTTTATGAACAATATGATGACGTTGAAATTGGAGCTCTGGATAACGCAGAGTTGGAAGGTACCATTCAAGTGGACAGCAGTCGGCTGCAGGAGGTTCTGAATGACTACTACAAGGAGAAGGCAGAGAAGTATGACAGCTGTTCTCCCTTAGCTGCTGGGTCTTCCTACTCAGTGACTGTGGTGGGGAAGGGTCCACACAGTCAGAGTCTGTCAACTGTTGACATAAGATCCTGGTACAGTGACTGAGATCGTGGTGGGAAGTAAAATATGAAGAGATGTGGAGTTTGAAAGTAACAGGATGCTTCTAGCCTCGGGCTGAGGAATCATAACTTAGAAATGTCTGGGTTCTTCTGTTTTCTGAAATGGTGGGTGTTCCAAGAAGTGAACAGTTATGGCTAGTAGATAAGCTTTTCTTCAGTTGATTACCAGAGCTTACCAGTGAAGTATTTGCTCAGTCAGCATCTGCATCAAAGGAACTCTTATCTGAGAGAAGCTGATGAGGTATTAAAATCTGCTAACAAGTCTTGTTCCGTGAAACACTGCAGCAGGCAGTTTCCACAGCACAAAAAGGGTCCATAGGCTTTAAGTGAATTCTGCGCATACTTTAGAGAGATAGATGAGCAGCTGGTATTTGTCTTAGGGAATCTGCCATCCTGTGTAATGCATAACCTTGTACAGATGCCGCTAGATTTGAGGTGCCTATCAGCAAAGCAAAAATGCAGAACCACTGGGAGGGTGCAGCAGCCTAGGTATAGAGGCATGTAGGGAACATGGCAGGCATAGGACTAGGAATTAAAATTACTGTTGCCTCTCTAGCTGTTTTACTGACATGGAATTTAATGTTTTCTTCATCCCTTTTCATTTTATAAAATGTACCAAAAAAGTTGTGTAAAATTGAATACTCTTGAGCCTTTTGAGGATCAAGATCTGCCAACAAATGAGCTTGATGAGTCTGAAAAGGAAGAGACCATTACTGTAGTTCTTGAGGAAGCCAAAGAGAAGTGGGATTGTGAATCCATTTGCAGTAAGTATCTTATTGTCCACTCAGCTGCCAAAAGTATGAAAGTAATTTAAAGTGATTGTGGGAAAATAGATACATTTTAGTAGAAGTTAGACTTAGAAAGAATATGACTGCTCCTGTTAGTGAGTTATGAATGATTTCAGAATGGTTTTCAGATAGGCTCTAAATGTGAATTTTACTATGAAAACACCAAGAGTGGGAACATAGAATGAACTTTAGGTGCTTTGAACTTACAGTACTTAAGTGACATATGATCTTCCTTTTTAAGGTACATATTCCAATTTATACAACCATCCACAGCTCATCAAATATGAACCAAAGGTGAGTATTGACCTGGAGCTACTACCATTTTCAGGGCTGAGGAGGTGGTTAAGGGGTAAGGCTACTTCCTGCCCTTTCAGAGGACCCAGTTTGGTTCACAGCCCACACATCTGTAGTTACTCCAGCTGAAGAGGATCTGACCCCCTCTTTGGCCTCCATGACACTTACATAGACATATACGTACAAATAAAAATTTATTGTTAACATCCTTCCTCACAGTTACTATGGCTTTGTGGCTGTCAGTGCACCAACTGTGTGTCATTCATGAACTGTGTGAATAGAAGTGGTAAATGACCAGAGCTGTGTGATCTGTGTTTCAGCCCAAACAAATCTACCTGTCTTCTAAGACGGGAATACCTCTCAATGTCTTACCTAAGAAAGGCCTCACAGCAAAGCAGGTTGAACGGATGCAGATGATCAACAACAGTGACCTACCCAAGGTCTCCACCCAGCCCCGCTCTAAAAATGAGAGCAAAGAGGATAAAAGAGCCAGAAAACAAGCCATAAAGGAGGAGCGGAAGGTAATGCACCCTCATTAAGGCCTTGCAGATAGCTGTTGGGAGGGTGTAGTGGAAGGGCATGTGCGTGCATGCGTGTGTGCACAGTCTCTCCATATAAACATAAGTAACCTGAGGACCCTCTTGTACAGGAACGAAGAGTTGAAAAGAAAGCTAACAAGCTAGCATTCAAACTGGAGAAAAGAAGGCAAGAAAAGGAGCTACTGAACTTGAAGAAGAACATTGAAGGTCTAAAGCTGTAGGTGTGGGACATTCATATAAGTTGTATCTCTGTGTCAGTGGTCTGTCTTCCTTATGCTCCATAATTAACCAGGATCTGAAGAGGGCTGAGCTCGCCCTGTCATTTTATATGCAAATAGCTGAGAAAAATAGAGTATTTGTATTTTCCTACAAGAGAGGTTCTCCTATCAGCTATCTTGTAAATACTATAATGTTTTAAGTTTAATATTATACACTTATATTTCCCTGAAATAAATGACTTCATGAAAGTCAAATGTTTGGATAAATTAAAGGAAAATGTCTTCATAACATGAACGGAATTGGTGTGCTCATTTATTTGTATGGTTGTCAGAGCTGTTGTTTGCAGATGTTCTCAGATATTTCTTTGAAACCTCTCCACGCCTTCCTGGGAATTACATGGTTTAATTTGCCGTCTGTAGAGAAGTGATCTGGTTAAGCTCAGTTTTGAAATGCTGAGTTTATTCTCAGTGGTGAGAAGAGTGTTCCTGACAAGATTCCATGGGTAAGAAGCTGATTTCCCGTGAACACAAAACGACCCTTTCACAAGGACTGAAGATGAGCTCTGCGGCTGTCATGATTGGGATTTCCTGCCCTGAGAGCAGATGGCTTTGTCCCTTTGGGATTCAGGAACAGCAGAACTGGAACAATCAAGACTACTTACTTCACTGTAATCTAGAAAGTTGCTCTCTCCAACACTGTCTAATGTTTGGAACCATCCACTGTTTATTACAATACACACTCAAAAGTTTCCAGGTTTTGATGAGATGTTCTTGTTTTTACATCTACAGACTGACTTAAGGTTTAGGCAATGACTCCATCATAATATTCATTATTTGGTAAAGTATGACTTCTAACTGGTCTTTGCTCATTTGCCCCTGACCAGTGTGGACTCTGTTGGTCAGAGTGAGGGACCGAATGGCTGAGGCACAGCTGGTTGCGGCAGGTGAGCGATGCTTGATGCCTCGATTTAGAAGTGTCACTGTTACTTTAGTATGTCTTTTCCAAAGCTGATAGGTGTTATGTCAATCTAAGTTTTGTTCATTTAAATCTAAATTATTGTATTTCTCTTAGAGTTTTGAACAGTAATAGCTGAATTCTAGTCTGTAGACCCTTAACAACAACCAAAAATAAAACTGCATAGAATTTGTCATTAAGGAAGTGTAGGAATCTGAGCGTCTTTTAATGCGGATCTGCAGAGGCAGAGTTAGTTGGGAATAGTTATATGAATACTGGGAATATAAATCCTAAATGGATGGGTCATTGTCAGGTTGACCATCTCAAAAGAGGAGTCTCCAGAGCATCGAGACTCCTGGGCACAGATGTCACTGTGCCCAGATCCTATTTTGCAAATCATCTATTTTTGCAAATAAGAATGTATCTGAGCCCAAGTCTTTAGAAACTTAACTGCTCTGGAGACCAATTCATTTAGTCTAAAGATGGCAATTCTGTTGTAGAGAACAGTTTTATAGTGACTCGAATGAATTTCCTAATGTTTTGTTCTCCCTACACACACTCAAATACTCAGTTTTCAGTCCTCTAGAAACAGTGTTGAAAACCAAACACATGAGCTTTGTACTGAACAATAGGCGCTCATGGTGATAAGAGGGATTTTGCCTTCAAGAAGTCCTTGGATGGAGTCAGATTTGTGCTGATGCTGTCACTGTGCTAAGCACAACCTGCGAGTGTCTTGAGAGAGACCTTCCTCAAGGTCGGCTCACTTGTCACCTTACATTTATCAAGAGTGTATCTCTAAAGAGCATGCCTGCCTCCCTAGCACTTCCTCCTCACCTACGTTGGTTCTTTGCAGCACTGACATACAAGGCAACCAGTTTCTCAGGCTCCCCTGACTAGAGAAAAGTCAGAGGGTAGAACTTGCTTTACCACTTCAACCTGGGCTAGCAGCTGGAATTTGGTAAATAGTCTACATGGCATATGGATGAATGTGTCCAGGCTATGACACTTCAGAAAAGGATGGCTTAAACTTGAGGTTGTACAGTGATAGAGTCACAAAGGTTCACAAGGAGAAGGAATCCCCAGTCAGCATCCTGAAATTTTTTATTTATCACTATTGGAAGCATAGATGAGGTGCCATGGTGCACGGGGAAGTCAAAAGATAGCTTTGTGGAGTTCTCTCCTTCCACCTTTATGTAGGTTCTGGGAATTGAACCTGGGTTGTAGATCTTTTATAGTATAGTAAGCATTTTGTTCTTTGTATCTATGTACATTAGTGTTTTGCCTGCATGTATGCCTGTGTGAGGGTGTCAAAATCCCTGGAATGGGAGTTACAGACACTTGTGAGCTGCCACATGGGTGCTAGGAATTGAACCTGGGTTATCTGGAAGAGCAACCAATATTCTGAACCATTGAGCCATCTCTCCAGCCCTGAGAACGCACTTTTACACACTGAGCCATGTCACTGGCTCTGCCTACTACATTTTAATCTTGTTTGAGCATTCTCCTGGATTGATTTCAAAGTTTTCTTATTCGATACATTGATAGTATTAGAAGTGTGTGTGTCTTCGCTGCAGGTCCCATTTGTACATGCTATCTAGGTACACTGTCTAGCTATGGTAATATCCACAACCTGCATTGTGACGTCATGGCCTCCCATCAATTGAGAGCAGCCCAGATCCCCAACCTCTGACCACATACTCTGTTGTTTGTGTTTTTATGTGTTGACAAGGGATTCCTTAATATGCCTGTTTGACCTAGTTAGAGGGCAGAAGATGAAGATTCCAGTGCTTTGGAAGTTAGTTGTGAAATTGGTGTTGAAATCTGTAATATGCAAACACATGCCTCTTGTGCCAATGACAGAACAGAAGCAAGTGGCCTCCAGATTGTAAATTTGTCTTTCCCCCTACTCATTTTGTAGCCCTTCTCCATTAAACCATTTATTTATGATACCCCTAAACACAACTTCCTCCTCTTTGAATGACTAGAGGCTCACATAAACCTACCTCTGTGAAGGCAGTATTTGCAACTCTTAGTTGAGATGTCTTAGAGATGACCTAAACAGGCTTTTGGTGTGACTTCAGCTTCCAGAGTGTGTGCACCTGTGTGCAGATGTCAGCGAGCAAGGCGCTGAGTGAGTCCTGGAAGCCATCGCTGGGCATTTGAGGATTCCTGCTACAAGCCGCATGCTTGGCTTATATTTCTGTATCTGAGCTGTGTCACTGCAGAACTAAAGCACCAGCCTGAAGTGGCTCTGATTTTTAAAATAGTGATAATACGTTTGTAAAGACAGAAAGAACGAAAAGAGGAAAGAAAATTCAGGAACCTAACAAATGCTTGCCACTTTTATTCTTGTCATTCAAATGTAGTTACTGTGTGTTTCTTTTTGTAAGTAAATAAAGTCTATCAACATGCTAATCACAAATCTTTTTGGTTTGTTGGTTGGTTGGTTGGTTGGTTTCTGGGTTTTGGGGATTTGTTGTTGTTTTGATTTGTTTGTAGGTTTTTTGTTTGTTTGTTTAGTGTTATTTTTCTAGACAGGATTTCTCTATGTATCCCTGGCTGTCCTGGAACTTGCTCTGAAAGCCAGGGTAGCTTTGAACTCCTTCTTCTGCCTCTTCAGTGCTGAGGTTAAAGGTATGTACCACCACACTCAGCTGCTTATGGACTTTGAGTTTCTGTAGTCCAGGTTGGACTCCTGCCTCCTAAGCACGGCCTTTACAAACATGAGCCGTTGCACCCAGCTTCGTGCGTTATTTTTAATAGGTATGTTAAATTAAATCTCATTCACCAGTCAGCAACCCATATCTGTGAAGGGCCACATAGTATGCTTTCCTGGTCATGTGTCCTCACCAGTGCACAACTGCAGGTGTGTGAAAACAACAGTAGATATGAGTGAATGACTATGGGAGCGTCCCATTAGCACTGGGTTTTCAAACCCATGCAGTCTCGGATGTGGGATTATAGCCCTTTCACCCTTAACCCAGCTTTCCTTCAAGTTTCTGATTGAACTGCTGTACAACCTCCAAACCAGTTAGTGTCATCACTAGAGTGTGGTTTTAGCTCTGTCATCCACACAAAGGGAGTTGTTCTCCTGCCATCTCATATCCAACTTCCTCACACACCAACCATTCCTTCGGTTTGAGAATCTAGTGTCTTCCATCTCTGTCATTTTGACATTTAGGATGTTCCACAGATGGAGTCATGTAGCATGTAACTTAGCTTTATTTCATGGAGCGTTGAGATCGTTTTAGGCTGTTGCATGGATCTATGGTACTCCTTCTGTTGTTCTGTGGTGTTCCAAGGAATGGGCATTTTGCTTGTTTTAAAGTGTTCTTTTAAGGTTATAGCAGTCAAATCTTATGTTTTAATCAGTACAGAGTGGCCGACACCATAGACCTTGACCTTTATGTGGGATTCAGCTGTTAAGGCAGGTTTCCTCTTCATTCCTCACTGGCAAGCTTCCAGATCGAATGTCAGAATGGAGTGGCCCCTCTGTATCCAAGTTTTTAATTGGATTATATCTGTTATTTTAAATTCCTTGAATTCATTAAAACTCATTATTTAAACCAAAGATCTTTTTGGTATTCTGGAAGTTTGCAGATTAGCAGGGATACCATAAGCCTACAGTTGAAACTTTTTGTCTTAATCCTTGTAAAGACGAAGACCTGGTTCAAATTCTCAGGGTTACCACTTGTAATCTGTGGACTGAGAGAAGTCACTTAGCTTCCAGCCTCCATTTTCTCTGTTGAAATGACACCAGCCCTGTCTCACGAGATTACTGTGAAGAGCCCAAGAAATAACGTAGAAAAGACATCAAGAGAAAGAGAGAGAATCAAATCAATATGACTATAACGTGAATAAAACCATTACCTTCAGTGTGGTTGGAGAAAAATGAGTTTTAAAAATCAAATAGTATTTATTAGCAAGACTGTGGGGAGTGGTGGTGGTGGGGGTCATTGCTGAAAATCTTATTTTTAAGACACAGTTGTTTTGCTGACAGCCAAACGGACAGGAGAGAGAGTATTTCTGTGACCTATGCTGAGAACACCACACCAATTAACAGACCTGTGAAGAAATCATTTAAATCAACAACGCCTGTACAGGCTGCCATCTGCTTCCTGTTAAGCAGACCTCTCTTTTTTTCACTTGGTTCCCCTGTTGGCTTCCGTGGCCCTGTGCTTTGCTTCTCCTGGCTTATCACCATCGTTTTCTTGGCCTTAAGTGGAAGTTTCCCTAAGGATCCTCTCTCCACTGTTTTTTCCACGACTTCTTCCCTGGCAGTGTCCTGCTTCACCTCATTCCTCAAAACCTACATCTGCGTCCCTCACCCTGGCCTCCCTCCTTTCCATCCTGCTGGCCGGACAACTCTGTTGAACTCAAGATTTCCAAGAGTGGGGTCATTTTTCTTCCTAAGATGGATTTTTTTTTCCAGCTTCCTAGTTCTAGCCACAGGCCCACGGTCTCCTCAGGCCTTCTGCCTGTAAACTTTACATTGTCCCCAAACATTAAGGGTTCTCTCTCTTCCCCATCCTCACCCCCAAAACTCTAGTTACATTGGAGGGTCTGCAGTACATTTCCTCCTTCCTTGTTTACGTCTCTATCCATTGAGAGGTCGCTGTCCATTGTCAAGTACCTCACTGAATCCTCCTCAGCTCTGTGTAGGATCCCTTGAGGACCTGCGTGTCTCTGGTGTCCCTTTGTCTGTAGAGTAAAAGCCACATTTTTATTCCAGTATGAAACCCCAAGGCTTAGACTTAAAACTGAAAAAGAATAAATAAATCTCTATATACACAAATTCCCACAAAGCAAAAAGAAGTGCTAAAATGGGAAATCTTAGATGTCCATAATGTTTTAGTTTTCTCTAACTTCTTTTAAAATAATTTGTCTTCTAATTTAGTAACATATCTTCCCATTTGCTGCCATTTTTCTATGTTGGACCCATGTATGTGTTCTTTTCAGTATATTTAATTATTGCTTGCAAGACTTTTAGTCCTATGTTAGAAATTCCGGTTTTTTTGGTTTGACTTATATCTTCAAGCAGTACTTAATTGTTCCTTATTTTTTAAGTGTATGAGTGCATGTATGCATGTGTGTGTGTGTGTGTGTGTGTGTGATGTGTTTGCACACATTTGTGCATACATGTGGTGAGGAGTCGTGTCTTTCTGAAGTGTCCAGCATGGTGGTTTTTCAGACAGGCTCTCTCACTTGAAGCTGGATCTCACTGATTCGCTAGGCTAGCTGGTCAGTGAGAGCCCAGGATCTGCCAATCTAACTCCCCTTCAGTGCTGGAGTTGCATTGCATATGTGGACCATCATGCCAGCACTTATCTAAGTGCTGTCAATCCACACTCAGGTGTTCTTACTTGCACAGCAAGCAGCAATGCCCACTGAGCCACTTCTCTGACCCCTTATAGAGCAGTTTCCTTTGTCTAGAGAACACACAGACCAGTTTTCCTTGAGAACATCACTGACAGCCCATCTTCAGCCTAAGCAGAATCCCAAAGACGTTTCCATCAGATAATTTGTGACTGTATGCTAATATATTAACTCTGTCCTTATGTCTAGTGCCCGGCTCTCAGCACCTCACTTCCCTACTAAAGTGAATAATTACACTCTGCTTGCCTCCAGTTTGTGTCATTTACTTGTTTGGTTAGGTGAGATGTTTATATTAGGAAAAGAGAATTTATGGGATTGCAGAAGAGGGGGAGGAAGCAGGTGGTGGGGATGGACAACTGTGGGGCTGTCAGGCGACTGAGGTCACCTGCAGTCACTCGTCTCTCCTCAGCCAAGCAGTTCCGTGAAACTTAACATAATGTGCTCTTGAATCTCCTGCAGATGGCAATCAGAAGTTATTTCCCTGTGAAGTCTGTGGGAGACGCTTTGCAGCAGATGTTCTGGTAAACATAAAGACGTTTTGTAGATGTGTTTCGTTGGAGTTAAATGAACTGTCAAGTCAGTGAGGAGGCAACGGTGCCAAGATTAAAGACAGATGTGGAGGTGGGGGGGGGGGGGATAGGAGGAGAGGTTCATAGCCTATGGCTTGCCAGGCTGGGAGGACACTGAGGCAGGCTGATAATGCCACGTTCAAAAGTGACCCTATTAACCACAGCCTCCCTGAAAGCATGGCAGATGGAATGGTCTTGGCACAGACAATTATCCCTTGAGAGATTTTGGCTCTTCCGCCTTTTCTTTAAGCATCAAAAATTCAAATTTCAAGGCCAAACACCAGGGAAATTAGCTGGTCGAGAGGAATGAGCATTGAATTTCAGGCATCTGGAAACTTGGCTCATGGCTGCAAATTTGTCACTAATTCTGACAAGTCCTGTAACCTTGCTGTTTTCTGCCTTGCCACGTACACGGAACTCTGATTTCAAGGAGGTTTTATACCATTTGTACAATTAATGCATGGATCCAAGCCTGCTCCAAGATCTAATTTTCCAGATACAAACTAACTGCATGTCAAGTTCCCAGGCTTTAAGGTTGAATAAAAATTTGGATTATTTCAAACATGATGGCTGGGAGGGGCTTCAAACAGATGGTACACCCTAATTTGTTAAGAGGTGACCAAAATAAATGATTTAAAAAAAAAACTCTTAAGATGACAATGTGATCATTTGGCTGTTTTAGATCATGGGAATGGTATATTGAAGTTGTGGGATCTGGGGATAAGGGACCTCCAAAATGAGGTTGTGGGTATTGTTTTTCTGGGAAATTTAGAAATAAATCTGTTCTTCCGGATAACCTGCATTGGAGCTGCTGAAGCGACAGCTCTTCCAGGCCTGTTGCAGTCCAGTGTCGATCAGTATCCTCCAGCACACTGCTACCTTTGCTAGCTAGGAGCTGCACCCCTAAGAGACATTGAGACCTAGGTGGGGCCTTTGGATGGGGATCAGTAAATGTCAAGTATACTTTACACACTCCTGAGTCTCACTGTTAAGCCTGGCTGTAGGCAGTACAGAACACTTGATCGGGAGATCTGATAACCGCTCTTGTAGTTTAACATGCATGACTTGCAGAAACACAGATTTTGCTAGAACCTGCATTTGGGGGATTGAAACCAATCAACTTTGCAAACGGTAGCTACTGTGGAAGAGGGCAAAGGTGTATATTATGTCCTAAAGGCACAGTAAACAACTGCATTAGTTCACCTTCTGTCGCTGTGATGAACTGAAACACTCTGACCAAAAGCAGTGTAAGGAAGAAAAGGTTTTCTTTGGCTAATGGTTCCAGACAGATAGGGACTATCACAGCCAAAAGACGTGGTATGGTAGGGAAGGTACAGCAATAGGAGCAGGAAGCTGGTAATCATATTTTATCAACACAGAGGAAGCAGACTAAATGAACAGGAAACAGACCAGTCTTGATAATAGACTTTCTGCAAGGCCCCACCTCCTAAAGTTTCCTTGGCATCTTCACACAATGCCTCCAAATGAGGATCAAGTATTCAAATACATTAGTCTATGGGGGACATTTCTTATTCAGAGGACCATACCATAACTTTTATGAAGGGGATACCAAGTAGACCTCTATGAGTTTTTCCTTTTTTTTTTTTTGTTAGAAATGTTGAGTTTTTAAAAGAAAGAACATTATAGCCTGCATATTGGAGTTTGAGGTATAAAATCAAATTTAAAGTAAAACTCTTTAGCTAGAGTGTTAACTTTCTGCCTATAATAAAATACATGAGATAGTCACATTATAAATAGAAAAGATTGCTTTGGTCTCAGTTTCAGAGGTGCCGTTTCACTAGCAGCTAGCCCTATTGCTTTGGTCCTGTGTTTGTCAAAATAAAAACATAAAGGAGGAAAAACTTCTCCATTCATAGACAATCAGCAGAAGAAAATTAAAAGAAAGGGGCCTAGTGCCTCAGTCCCATGACAGGGTACACTACCGGTGACCAAAAATCCTACTAGTGAGAACTTATCTGTTTTGCTGTTCTGTTTTGAGACAGGATCTTTTTATGTATCCCAGGCTGCCTTGGGCTCACAATGCTACTCTCTGTGCTTTCCTAGTTCCAAAAGAGAAACCTCCAGCACCATTTCCAGTTTAGACCTCACCTCTCAAAGGTTCCACAAATATAGAAACCTATAAAGCACCTTTTGTCTTTCCCTAAATGCAGTATAGAGCTGTGTGACATGTCGGGGGAGAACCGACAGATTTGCTCCACTGTGGTCTAGAGTCAGAGAATAGACGAGATTTTGCAGACACTGGCCAGTCAGTGTCCTGGGGGCCAAGTACGGAGCCATGAAAACTTGCTGATCGTATATTTTCTAATCAAATCCTTACTCTATCTTTTCCAGGAAAGACATAGACCGATATGTAAAAAAGTATTCAACAAAAAACGCAAACCCTTTAACTCCTTAAAGCAAAGATTACAGGGAACTGACATTCCCACTGTGAGTAAATCTCCCCAGTCCAAGGTATGCCAACAATTTCTTTACTTCTCATTATAGGAAGTACATTTAAGCTGCTTTCTTGGCTTGCTGTTTTCATTTTTGCTTGATAAGGCAGTATAACAGCATTTCAATATAATCCACCTTTACTGTTTTCTGTATAAGCTTACTTAGATTTCCAAATAAATTGTAGATACTTTCCAGATGTAGTAAAAAGAATCCTGTTTACGTTTTCATTAGAATGCCTTTCCGTCTAGAACGGGGCCTGGAAGTATGTTCATTTTTCCCCTCTCTGAGATAAGGTTTCACTAGATAGCTAAGCTTGGCCATGAGCTGACTACGGAGCCCAACTAGCTTGAAGTTCATGATCCTCCTGCCTCAACTTTCTCAGGTGTGAGATTGCAATTGTGCACCCAAACTAGTAAGAAAGTTACCTGCTATCCTGAGTCCCCAAGGAACCCACAGGGTGGAAGAAGAGAGCTGACCCCTGAAGGTTGTCTTCTGATATTTCACATGTGCTGAGGTATATACATAGCCACACACAAAAATAAATCAATAAAAATGTAATTTTTCAAACAGTTTTAAGAAGGCCACCTTTGATCCTGCACACGTCTTTCTCGGGTTTTATGGTCTCCTTGTGGCTCTGATTTCTGTTTGGTGGGTTTTGTCGTTGTTGTAACTTGCAAATGTTGCCGCTGTAGTTTCCAACTTTTTAAAAACGTTTCTTTGGAGGAAATTTGTTTCTTTCTTTACAAATTACACATTCCCACTTGCTATAAATTCAAAACCCCAGTCATTCAACAACAACAACAAAACCATCAGTTGATCCATATGTAGTAGGAGAGGTTGCTTTGTTTTTGTTTTTGTTTTTTGTTTTTGTTTCTTTTTTTTTGCAGGTTCAGCCCGAGAGGAAATCTAACTGGAGACAGCAGCATGAAGATTTCATCAATACAATCCGATCAGCAAAACAATGCACTCTAGCCATGAAGGAGGGCAAGCCCCTCCCACCTCCACCCCCTCCAACCGTCAACCCAGGTGTGTGGGCATTTGGGTTGCTTTTTGACTTTTAGTAACAGTGACAGTGAATGGCAGTAATAGTGAACTCAAGGTGAGTCTATCCATTATGCAAGTAAAAAATATACAGCACACTTTACCTCTTTCTTGCACTCCACAGAGCTTGTATATCCCCCCCTGTCTGCACCCCCACGAGACAACATCACATGGGTACGATCAGTGCATACCTAAAGGGCACATCATTCTCCTTGTGGCTGAGGAACAAAACTGTACACAGTTCTACACTGGCTCTGACAGTCAGTGACCTACAGACCATTGTTCATAAGTGCTAGTCTTATAAAGCAAAGCATTCGAAGTTGTTATAGTTAAAGTGGTTTCACAGCTTGGTGTTTGGAAAGTTTCAAATCTATAAGAAAGAGGAAAGAATGGGAAAATAAGTAATTACATGCCTTCTGAAGTCTGAGAACTGCTGGCAGTATTGCCTCTCTGTCACTGTCTGTCTGTGTTGTCTGTCTCTGCCTCTCTCTGTTTCTGTCTCTGTCCCTCTGTTTCTCTTTTCGTCTCTATCTCTGTCTCTGACTCTCTGTCTCTCTGTCTCTCTGTTTCTGTCTGTCTGTCTCTCTCTGTGTTATATTGGGTTATATTAACACACACACACATACAAAATAAATAACTTTTTGAACTCTACTTTGGAATTTAAACAGGGAATTTATTAAACGGTAGATGACTTTGGTTAATGTTATCATTTTAACAATATTGTTTTCCAGTACATGGACCTACACACAAAAAAATGGCTTTTTATTTATCCACATTTTCTTCCATTTCCTTTATCGTTTTTCTATGTATACATCTTTTGCTTTCTCATTTAAATTTACTTGTATTTTTATCCTTTTTGACTTTATAGAAAATGGACATTTTAGCTTTATTCATTATTCATTGTTTGCATATAAAAATGCAGCAGAGTTTTGTATATCAAGTATGCATACTGAAACTTTGCTACATTCATTCATTAGCTATAGCAGGGCTTCTGTGAAATCATTAGCATTCTGTATATTTGTCATCTGTAAACACATATACATATAAACATCCCTTCTCTGCTTGAATGTCTTTTATTTCCCTTGTAGGCCTAAATTCTGTCTAGTACTTTCAGTATTTGTTAAATATAGGAAGCAAAAGTGAGTGTTCTTATCTTGTCTCCATTGAGTATAGTGCCACCTGAGTTTTTATGTCACTGTTTCAAGCAAAAATAATGGCGTTCTTGGTAGGATTTCAACATGTGAAGCAAGAAGTAGAAAACAACGGCACAAAGTTGAATGAGGAGAATGGATATGTTTTTCAGCTTTTACATAAGAATAGATGTAATAATATCATGTGAAAATACATTGCAGGTTGCTACAGGACCATTCAAAAATATTGAGGCAAACTTAGTGTTTTAGTTAGGGTTTCCATTGCTTCGAAGAGATACCATGACCAAGCCAACTCTTATACATAAAACATTTCATTGAGGCTGACTTGCAGTTTCAGAAGTCCAGTCCATTATTATCATGGTGAGAAGCATGGCAGCATGCAGGTAGATATGGAGCTGGAGGAGGAGCTGAGAATTCTGTATTTTGATCTGAAGACAGTCAGAAGGGGCACATCATTCGCACTGTAGCTGAGGAACTGCAGGCAGCTAGGAAGAGGCTCTCTTTCACACCGGGCAGGGCTTGAGCATAGTACCTCAAAGCCCACCCCCACAGTGATGCACTTCATCCAAAAATGCCACATCTACTCCAAGAAGGCCACACCTCCAAATAGTACCACATCCCATGGGCCAAGCCTGACTAAGCAGCACATCTAGTAAGACTGTGTCAGTTATGGAAAAGTGGAATAGAGATACTTAGCATGACCTGGGTTGAACAATTGCATATAAATGGTTTACTACTCCAGATGAAAGACAGACACTGTCAAGCTGGGTAATAAACCAAGGGCAAACAGTGTGCTTGTCACAAGAAACATACTTTCAGAACAAAAACTACAAGCATGGGGAAAGATGTAAGTCATTATCATAGAACTAGCATATCTGCTTAAGACCAGGCAAAGCAAACTTCAGGGCAAGTGTTAACAGGGACAGTGACTCATTAAGAGATGCTCATTAAGAAGACCTATGTGCATGTACTTAGTGTTTCCAAGAACGTGAAACAAAACCCAGCTAAATTGGAAGGAGATAAATTCACACTTCTATTACATTCAGACGCTTTGTCGTTCATACCATAATAACTAATAGACTGACCCACAGGAAAATCAGTAGAGCTACAGAAAACCCAAGCAGCAGTATCAGCCAATCTGACCTACCTGACATCGATAACTGCCAGAGGACACACAGGCATAGCAGAATACACACTGCTTTCAAGTACACAAGGATTGCTATATTCAGGGAAGTACTGTATGTAGGCTTCAGGAATCTTGAAAAGATTGAAATCATATCCAATATATTTTCCTTCTGGCCACAATAAAATTAAATTAGAAATTAATGAAAAAATATACCTGGAAAACATCCAGGTGTTTGGAAATAGCAAGTGATTTCTAAATAGCCAATGAATCTAAGAGAAAATTGCATATTGAGTTGGAAAATATTTTAAGAGGATGATAACAAAAACATCCAACTTATAGGGGATTTGCTTATCTGTTGATAAAGTTCTGCTTTTAAATTTAACATAAGAGCAAACTAAACCCAAATTAAATACAAGGAAAAATTTTAAATGCAACTTATCATAATAGTAAGATTTCTAAAAGCATTTGATTATATCAAAAGAGTAAAAATGATTGACAGAGCTCACCATTGAAAACAGCAGCCACTCCCTTGGCAATGGGAAAATGGATAATTTTTCCCATAAAGGGGATCTTTGGAAAATCTCTATTTGTCATCACAACCGAACAATTTCCTACTAAGCTCAGGGGATAAAAAACAAAAACAAGAATGTCCATTCCTTCCCCTTCTGTTAAACATGATGGAAACAGTACTCAGTGCCATAAGATGAAGATCAGCATAGAGTCATATAACATACACACATATGTAATATCTGACCTGAAGATTGCTCTGTGGAAGTAGAGCTCTCTGAATCACAAACTGCAATCACTGGGAAGGAAATACAAATAACTCTGGGTTGCTGCTAGAATTAGAACAAATTCAGTACGTTCTGTACTTCTGTTGACTAAGCAGAAGCAATTAAATATGAAATTAAAAAAAAGTTACAATAACACGAAAACATTAAACACTGGGGATGGAGTTGGCAAAATATGGTGCAGAAGTGTAAAACGAAAAACCAGTGTACTCCTTCGAGGAATTAGAGAGGACCAGAATTAGTAGAAAGACTTACCATTTCCATGGCTTACGAGACTCAGTAGTGTGTTGTGTTGTCAACCCTACCCACATTTCTCTATGGTTTCAATTTAATTCCAATAAAAATAACTGCAACTCTTCTTTGCCAAGTAGGCGTTGACCAGCTGACTCCAAAAGCATGTGCAAATTGAAAGACTCTGGAATAGGCAAGCCAGTTTGGGGGAAACTTAAAACAGAGGACTCAGGCTCTCTTGGTGTCAAGACTTGTGATGATTGCAGCAGTTGTGGCAATATGATGTTAGAAGACCAGTATGATGTTGAATAGAAAATGGACTCTGGCTATAGAACTACCCCTAAGCATGGTTGGTTTCCCTTAAGGTGTGTTCTGGCTAAACTTAATATAGACTAAGCTCATTGAAGAGAAAGGAATGTCAATTGATTAAACCACCTCCATAAGATTAAGCTCTAGGCAAACTTGTGGGGTTTTTGTTGGTTGTTTTTGCTAGAGACAGGGTCTCACTATGTAGCTTTAGCTGTCATTAGGCTGTCCTCAAACTTACCTACCTCTGCCTCATGAGTGCTGGGATTAAAGCTGTGGGCCACTATGCTTGTCTTGTAGTGCATTTTCTTAATTAGGGATTGGTGTGGGAGAGTCAGTTACTGTGGTGGGGCCACCCCTGAGCTGGTAGTTCTGGATTCTATGAGAAAGCAGGCTGATCAAGGTATGAGGAGCAAGCCAATAAGCAGCACCCCTCTATGGCCTATGCATCAGCTCCTTCCTCCAAGATCTTACCCCCTTGAGTTCATGCCCTGATTGCCTTTGATAATGAACATTGATGTGAAATTGTAAATCAGATAAACCCTTTCCTCCCCAACTTACTTTTTGGTCAGGGTGTTTTATCACAGGAGTAGTAACCTCAAGACAAGGTTCCAGGGTAACTAATTGGAGGAAAGAGCAGTCTTATCATCAAATACTCCTGGGAAAAGTTGGATACCTATTTGAAAAAAAAAAAAACTCTTATATTTCACATAACAATTAATTCAAAATAGATCATTGACCTACATATAACGACTACTAAAATTGGAGAAAAAGTAAATAAACCTTGTTCAACAAAGATTAATAAAGCTGAAAGAGCCTGGTAAATTGGACTTGGTGACATATACATGGAATCTCAGCGCTTAGGCAAGTGGATTCCAAGTTAAGGCCCAGGCTTCAAAGTCAGAACCTATCTTAAAGTTATATATCCCATCACCTCCTGTTAAGTGGGCTCGTGTTAAGACTGTATAAAGAGCACTTATAATTCACCATAAAAGGCCAAGAGAAGTATTAAGATATGCCACCAACCTGGCAAGCACATGAAAAAAATACTTGACATTATTTTCACTGTCCAAAATAAGGCCACAATAAATGCCACTACTTATTCTGGTTTGCTTTCTGTTGCCATGATAAACAAGATGATGAAAGGAAACTTGAGAAGGATGAGGTATTATTACATCTTACAGGTTATCACTCATCGCTGAGGGAAGCCAGGGCCAGAGCTGAAGCAGGAAGCTAGAAGCAAGAGCTGAAACAGAAGCCATAGAGAAATGCTGCTTATTGGTTTATTCCTAATGGCTCACTCAGCTCGCTTTTTAAAAATACAACCCCAGACTACATAGGGGTGGGTCCACCCACAGTGGTCTGGGCCTTCCCATATTAATCCTATATTAACCAAGAAAATGCTCCCATAGATTTCCCTCAGGCCGGTCTGAGAGAGACGTTTTTTCACAATCACATGCTGCTCTTCCTTCATGTCCCCTCACTTACACCATGTTGATAAAAAAAAAAAAAGAATAAAAACAGCAAAACTGACTCTTGTCAATGTGACACACAAATACATTATTATTAAGACATAATCTTTTCTTTGTTGCTTATTCCAAGATCTCATGCTTATGTCGTAATATAAAGCATAGTACATAACTTAAAAAGTTCAGTCTTCTAAAAATATCCAAAGTCTCTCAACTATGGATTCCTGTAAAATCCCAAATAAGTTACATACTTTATAATTCCAAGGAAGAAGAACCAGGACAGAATTACAATCGGATCCAAGCAAAACAAGTCTAACTGTAAAACTGCCGTGCCCAACATATAGAACGTGCTCATGATCTTTTGGGCTCCAAAGGGTGTGAGCAATTCCACCTTTCCAGCTCTGCCATCACAGCACGCACTCTGGAGAGATAGGCTCCTCTCCACACCTACCATGGTCATTTGTGGAAACCCCATAGTCCTGCTGTGAAGTACAAATGAATCTCTTCAACAGAACCACTGTGTGCAAGCAAGATGGAGTCTATTATCGAAATTACAGAGTGAGTAAGCTTGTCTATGGCAACAGGAAAACACATCACTGACATTTGACTGGGGCTGCCTTTGGAGAATTGTGTCTGAAATGTAGCATGAGAAAAAAAATTGGGGGCAAATGTTTTACATTTTAATTGGAGTGGTTATGCAAATGCACGCATTTGTCGAGATGCACAGGATTGCCCACCTAAAACAAACACATTTTATTATGTAAATTAATCTTCCAAAGAGTTCATTTCAAAAGTCTAAAAACAAACCACAGTGTAAGCACAGAGTAAATACCTCATAGAACTTAAATCATCTGGTATAACAGAAAATAATCTTAATAGCGGCTTTATTTTTCTGCATAGTAACGAAAATGTAGCTTAAAATAATGTATCATCTTAATATGTTTAATACAAAGATCTATGGCTACCAGGTTAGTAATAAACTATCAGAGAAAGTATACCTTGTATGTGCCTGTGTGTTTGTGTTGGTGTGATTATGGACACGCACTTGGGTATGCAAGCCAGAGAAGAAACTGTTGCCTTGGTTCCCCAGCATCCACCATGATGAAATAGCCTTTCACTGGCCAGCAGCTCGTCGATTAGATTAGACCAGTGAGTCCCAGGGATCCTTTCTGCACACCCACAGGCAGTGTTGGGATTACTAGCTCATGCCACCACACGCATTTATGTGGGTTTGGAGCATCAAATTTGGTTCATTGTACTTACAAGGTAATTGTTTTGCTGTCTGCGTCATCACCACAGAACAAAACACACCTCTTATGAGAAACAGCTTCGTTTTAACATCAGAAGCTCAGAAGCTGCACGTTGATGACTACCTTACAGTTATTTGATGAAGTAAAACCATGTCAGATGGGCTTTGTGTTTTTTCTTTCCTTACCCCGTGGGCTCTAAAATTACAGGATTATTATTATCTCTTTAAAAAATCCCCTCACAGGACTCATCACACACTCGATTAATTTTCTTCCTTTTGAATTTTTATGTTTAAATACAAAATTTTTAAATTAAATTTTTTACTAACAATAATAACTAAACAGTACATTCACAGTGGCATATTTTCATTGCAATTTGATTATGTTTTTTATGAGAGGACTTTATGTTAACCTGACTTCATAGACTCATGTACTAGAGAATTTATATGCATAAAAGGAGACTTTTATATATAATGTGATCTAATATGCATGAGTTTGCAAGCAATTTCCTTTTACTTCTCAGGATAATTCCCCATTTCTAGGACTCAGTTTTCATGACCTGTATATACTTTTTCTAGTTCTTACTGGCTTAATCAAGTCTGCTAAAGAATCACAGCTCCTAGGTGGGCATTGGTGGCACACGCTTTTAATCCCAGCACTTGGGAGGCAGAGGCAGGCAGATTTCTGAATTCGAGGCTAGCCTGGTCTACAGAGTGAGTTCCAGGACAGCCAGGGCTACACAGAGAGACCCTGTCTTGAATAAACAAAATAAAACAAAACAAAAGAATCACAGCTCCATATCATTGGAACCTTTTGTAGGAGCGATGAGATATAATACTTTAGAAGTGGGATCATTCTGTGATACTTGGAGTGGTGGCTAGCATCTCATAGGCTGCATAAGGATCTCAGGGGAATTTTTGCATCGAAAATACTTCTACCTTCCAGAAGATCTGGCTGCCACCTTTCCTATCAGAATCCCTTTGTGGTCCAGTTTTTGAACTCACCATCAGTGGTGCAGAAATTGGCACTCTGGGCTTCGAAATTATTTTCAATAGAAATAAATAGGACATAGTAAGTTTTGTGGGCTCACAATTAATAAAGGAAGAAGATTATTCAGTTTGAGACTAGGATAAAATGTGTAGCTGTGACACCCCATGTTCAGATGATTCGATGTAAATTCTTAGAGCACCCCTCAAATACTCAGCCACATGATCTTCTCCTGCTCTGCACTATACTCCCACACCCAGGCATCTTGTTCCGCCAGGGTCTCAGGCGATCTAGTGCTTCCTTACTAATTGGAAAGAATGTTTGCCTCATTATCGAAGAGACTGGTTGGCAGGAAAATATATTCAAACCTTGTTGCCTCCGCGGTGGCATGCAATTAGAAGTACACAGAAGGACAGCAATGAATAGAAGGACTAATGGAAGTCGGCTCCAATGCTAAATCACTGTTTTCAACTGACCTGAGTAGGTTTCATAGGATCAGTGTGTCTGCTCTAAGACTCCATTTCCTACATGGAAAATTCGAGAAACCGCTACCATGCTGAATGCTCATTTCTAGTTTGTCTACAGCCCAATGAGTGAGTTCTGAATTGTCTTGGTTCGTTCTAGTTTCTGAGTATTTGCCCTCTTGTTTAGGAGTTGGAAGCATATGCTTGCTGGACCTGTTTCCATACAGCAAGAGCCAGCATTTATAACATTCTCCTATGTCCCACCCTTCCCGAGGTGCCAAGCCCTTGTGTGGATTATCTATGAACTTTCACAACACGCTGATAAAACGGGTGATATGGTTGTGCAAAGGAGATGGGGGCCTGTGTAAGTTGAGCAACTTGTCCAACTTCATAGGCATAGCAAGTGAAGAACTTGGGCTCAAAACCAGTCAGACAGGCTCTAGAACTAAACTCCTCATTATTTCTAAATGCTGTCCAATGGTTGGGTTTTTTAAACCATTTATCACTGTGTGAAATTTTCATTTTTTTTTTGTTCCTACACTCAAATACACATTTCTTGACTCCAGAAACATTGCATCTTGATGTAAAAATCAATGTGTGGCCTATCGTAGTCACTGAATAAATGATTAGCACTGGTTTCCAGAATGCGAAGTAAAATCAATGACTGCTAGATCATCTCTAAATGTTTATAATTTTTACATTTGAGGGGTATACATTTTAGGAAGAAATTTGTCCCAATAGAAAACTCTGGAAACTGCTTAACGATAGGGCTTAAAATAGAGGTTAAAAAAGTAAAAGAACTTCTCTCTCAAAACATGGCTGTCTGCGTAGGAATTTTGACTATTCAATAATGTAAACTTCCATCCTAAAGTGTAAGGGTGATGCAGCTCAGACCCTTTCTGGGAAAAAATTCTTGACGTCACTCACATCCCCTAAAGATGTCTAAGTCAAGAACAAAGCTGACCCTAATCCCTGCATGCTTAGAGAAGATAGGCAGAGACCCAACTTTGCTTATGAGAATCTCCATGTTACAAGACGACCTTAGATCTTTCTCGATTCCCATGTCTTTCACTAGCCAGTTATATCTGATAATAAAACATGAAAGAAAATTTGACAAGGTGCTATACAGAACCACAGATGAGCTAGGATCACTAGAAGCAGCCTGGGAAACTGAAGCCATTTCTAAAGCTACTTTCCCACCAGCCTTCCCTGTTTGTTCTTTAACTTTTAACCTCCTATCAGCTCTTCTCCTACTCTTTATATATTTTCCCTTCCTGAGTATGGCATCTGCCTCCTCATGTATGTGAAGAAAAAAAATCTAGCCACTGCAAAAATGCATTCTTGTTGCTAATGACTATGATATTGGAGCCAAACCTCATCCCCTCAAACCCACATTTTGAAACTACATAATAACTCTCTGTAACTCTGTAACTCTGAACAACCTTCTGTCTCAACAAGTACCATTCATGGGCTTCTTGTGGGTCATCCACAAACATTCTTACCATTAAAGTTAGCCTGCTGTGATGTCAGCTTCTACACACAGCTGTCATTTTGAAGTTCCTAAATATAATTAATCTATTATCTAAAAAAGATAGTATGCAAACATTTAAAGGGATATTCTTAGTTGAAATAAATACTTAGAGACTGCTTTTTTGCCCCTGCTATGTCTTTATTTGGGCTTCTCCTTTTGGATTAGGCTGTCTCAAACCACAGTCTGTTCTTCAGTCTTGCAATAGTTTACAACCATTTCATTCCACATTCATTCATTCATTCATTCCACAGTTGTTTTTGCAGTGTTAATCATGGTTTGTTGGTCTGTTCACATCCAGATTATATTCAATGCCCTTACTGTATGAGGAGGTTTAATGAAACCGCTGCACAGCGACATATTAATTTCTGCAAAAATCAGACCTCTCGACGCGTCTTTGATCCAGCCCAAACGGCAGCCAGACTGGCATCGAGAGCTCAGGTAAATATCTCTTCTCCTGATTTAGGCTTTGTATTCTTGCATGCCTGGTGCAAATAGGTAGGATCTGCCAGGGAGCTCAACTGTCCATCCTCAGAAGCATGAGGATCAGAAAGTTGATCACTATCATTCATCTCCATGGGAGTTGTCTACTTCTGGCTTGAAGCACCTTTGGGTGTTGCAGAAAAAAAATTATTTTTAAGTGTTTGAAGCCTCTCAGGATGAAGACTTCAGTATCAAAAGAATGTGTCTCTGACATTATGCTAATACCAGGCTTATCCAGTGGTGTTTATCAGCCTAACCCACCCAGCAAAGACATGACTCAGTGGAACTGGTCTGGGTGGGAACAATGTTGTCAAGCAGATGCCTAGCGGGTTGAGTTCTGATGTATAGAGGTGACGGGGGAGGGATGAGATATACAACATGTCTAGTTTATGGCCTGAAGCATTAACCAGAAACAAAGTCTCTAATGGGGATTGACAAGATGGAGCAACAAAGGCAACAGATGTAGAGGAGTTATGGTTCAAGCCAGTTAAGATTAGAGGATGAAAAGAACTGATCATACAGATGCTCGGAAATCTGGGAACAGCCGAGCCTGAGAGCCTGGGAGCAGGAACAGGAAGACTTCTGGGAAGCCAGGCAGCTGTGATCCCACCTTCTTTCTACCCGTTTCCCACAGCGTCTGGTTTTTTTTTGTTTTTTTTTTTTAAGACAGTGTCTCTCTGCATAGCTCTTGAAACTTCCTCTGTAAACCAGGCCACTGTCTTCAAACTCAGAAACCGGCCTGCCTCGGCTTCTCAAGTACGGGATTAAAGACCTGTGCTACCATACCTGGCAGTATTGGCTTATCTGTTGCACTTTCTTTCTTTTTTTTTTTTTTTTTGGTTTTTCGAGACAGGTTTTCTCTTTCTAGACCGGGCTGTCCTGAAACTCACTCTGTAGACCAGGCTGGTCTCGAATTCAGAAATCCGCCTGCCTCTGCCTCCCAAGTGTTGGGATTAAAAGTGTGCACCACCACTGCCCGGCTCTGTTGCACTTTCTATTAGTAGCTTCATGGGTCATCCTAGGCAGGGCAGACATGAATCAGTAAGAGAAAAGCAGAGTGGAATGCAGTGGACTCTTTGCAGTCACTACGGAGGATGAACGGATGAGGCCAGGAAGGACACACAGTGGCAGACTAATAAGGCTCCTGGGGGGGGGGGAGGGACTAATAGGAGAATGGCATGAGGAATAATTAATGAAGTTAAGAAAATAAGTAGCACTAAGATAAAAACTGGGCATTAGAGTCTACGCAGATAATAGTACAGGCTGAAAATCCTGTATCTAGAATGATTGGGACCAGAAATATTTCAGAAACATACACACACACACTCACACACACTCACACACACACACACTCACACACACACACTCACACACATACACACACACACACTCACACACACACACTACAAAAATTGAAAATTGGTATGTCCTACGTTTCTACTGAAATACATCACATGAGGTCATGTGCAGAAATTTTTAACTTGTGACATGCTGTTGTCACATGCTTCTGATTTTGGAGTGTTTCCGATGACAGGTCTTTGGGTCAGAAGTGTTCTAAACCTGAAGGAACACGGGAAGGAGGAGGCATGTGTGCTGGACAGGTGGTGAATTCAAGTTAGAGACAGTCTTCCAAGCTGAGATAGTGTGGGAAAGGTGTAAGGTCAAGATGGCCGGGACTTGGTGGTCAGTGGCCAGGGCTTCATTTCCCATTGTCATTGGATGGTTGGTTATTTGTAGGTGAGGCTTTGAAATTTACTTTCACCTGCAAATAACATTAATCCCCCATAACTAGAGGAGTTATTGGGAGTAAGGGGCTGGCCCAGAAGGTCCCTTATCTGCCCTTTCCCTTTCCAAAAGCCCTTTCTTCTTACTAGTCTTGGAAATCACAATTTTGAAAGACAATGGCAGCTTTAGGCTTGAATTCAAGCTAAGTGTGGAGAAGAAGTCTGTATCTTTGGCTCTTCTTCCACCCTGAACAGCAGTACCAGCAACTGCCATTATCACAGATGGTTCTATCCACTCCACGGATTTGTCAGTATTAGGGGCCAAAGAGGGTGAAGGGAACCAGCAAACAGAAGTGGTTTTTATTTGTGAGAAAGGCCAGCTGGCTATCCCAAGTGTAACCAGTGACTTGGCCCCTTTCCTCTCCCTGTGTTTCAGAGCTTAGTGGTGACTGGGAGCACAGAGCAGAGATTGCCAGAGCTTAGTGGTGACTGGGAGCACAGGGCAGAGATTGCTTGCTCCCTGAATTCCATTGCTCACTGTCTGAGTGGCCGTGTTTGCTCCCGAGTGCCAACGCCACCACTCTGGGACCTCGCCTAATAGTGAAGCTTGCTCAGAAATGGAACAAGAAGGGGGGGTTTGTTTTGGGCTTTCAGGACTCCTGGTGGCCAGGCCAGAATGTGTTTCTATTTCAAACAGAATCAACTTAGAAAACTCTTGTCATGCCCTTAACCAGAGGAGACCATGGGCCTCTAGAAATAGGCCTTTGGGACTAGAGAGCTGACTCAACGGTGACATTGGCTGTGAAAGGAAGGGACCTGAATTCAAATCACCAGCACATAAAAGTCAATCATAACCACACATGACTCTAACCCCAACACCGGGAGCAAAGACAGCCAGATAGCCAAACCAGCCAGCTTCCAGTTCAATGAAACCAGGGTAGCTTCCAGCTACCCTGTCTCATAACGTAAGGTGGATGACAATAGAAAACGATGGCTCACATCCTCCCCTGACCTCCACGTGCTTGGGAAGACACTAATGACAACTTGAACGTGTACACATATACCCTCTACACACAAAATAATAACAACAACAAAAAGAATACTAATAGTTTAGCTGGCTGAGGACAGAAGATGTGCCTACCTGTATTATCACAATGATCCTCCAAGGGGGGGGGGTTACTTCAGTATCAGATCATCTTTGGGCTGTCTTTCCCACAGGCCTGGAGGGACAGCCACAGCAGGCTGAGAGGGGCTCCTCAGAAGGCTTTTGTCTTTGTTTTGTTTCCATCTGTGCAGTCTGCAGCTGCTCTGTGGGACTAGCAAGGTTCTGGGGATATTGGAATTCTATGCCTAAAACATATGCTGCCTGTCAATCTCTGGTTTTCTTCTCTTCTCTTTAGAAAACAAAACCATCTTCAAGTGTAAAGAAAAAAATATTCTACAACCATATCCCTACTGACATTATTAAATGATTTATTCTGTCCTCACACAACTGATTTTGTAAGATAACTAGACCACCACCAACCCCAAGGACTTGCTTACAGAATGAATGTTTCCAAATCAAACTGTGCCTTTGAACACCAGCAGAAGACCAGGGTCTAGGCTAACTGAAGTGCACAGTATGTGCCTCCTTCCTCTGGGTGAAAGGGTCCACACGATGACTCTAACCTTCTGCTAATTGGGTGAATACAAGTTTACTTCTTGCTTGGAACCCAGGATTACAATGTTGTTTCTCTTTCTATCTGTAGGGTAAGGCCCAAGCAAGTCCTAAAAAATAACCAACTGTTACGAGTGCTGTGGGTGCCCTGCAGCAGAGCAGGACTGTGGAGATCAAGAATGACATCATGGCTAGTTCAAGTAAGTCAGCGCATGCACCAGGCGCTTGCGCAGTCAAGTCATGGGAGCAGAGCCTCCACCCTGCCGTGATGATCTACTGGTGGTCAATAAACGCGAAAATGACATCCCGTGATGCTGCTGCAGAAAATTATGTGTGGGTTTGTTTGAGGTTGAAGTTTGTCAAGAGGGAATATTTCTTATCCCGATTGCGCCACTCTGACCACATGGAAGGCTCTGTTTGATTATAGCAGCAGGACTCCACGGCTATTGCTCTTCAGTCTGCTAAAACAGAAAAGACTGAGATTGAAAGTTCACATGTCGGGGTGAACAAACGAGTAACTTCTACAGTGTGGCAGCAAGTGTAACCAATGTCAAGCTACTAGCCTTGTGCCTCTCGCTGAGCCTCTACGTAGTTTGCCACCTACAGAAAAGGAAACCGAGGCTCCAAGGGGACACGTGACCTTTCTAATGCACATGGCTGATAACCAGTAGGCTGGATTAGGTATCTACTGTGCTTTCCACCCCCAATCAGCTACACAACAAACATACCCAACATGCATTTGTATAAAGTCAACCTACAAAGGAACAAATTGCCCTATGGTATTTGCATACTTAGTTTTGGTTGATGTCTCTCCCCCTTCCTCTTCTTCTCTCCCTTCCCCCTCCCCCATTTTCCTGGCCCTGTTCTCATGTTCCCTCCGTTCCCAGTACTCTTCCCCTGTGCTTTGACATCACTTACCAGCATGCGCTGTTCGGACAGTATGTGTTATTTCTCAGCCACACAGCATCACTTCTGGCAGTAGACATGTTTAGAGGGTACTAGCCAGTCTCAGCCCGAATGGTAATACCAAGAAGTTTTGCTGTTTACTTTGAGCGGCTTATCACGGGATTAAAAACTGAATAGAGGGTCCTGGGAAATGGCTCAGTGGGTAAGACAGCTTGCTGTGCACTCATGAGAATTCTAGTTCCCAGTAAAAAGCTGGGAGTGGCCGGGCACATAATCCTGGAGCCGTGGGAGAAAGTGAAGACTGCTGAAGCTTTCTGGATGCCAGTCTAGCTCCAGGTGCAGTAAGAGACCCTGTCTTAAGGGAATAAGACAGAGACCCTGTCTTAAGGGAATAAGACATCCCCCGATTTCCATATACATGTAAGTATGGGTGCATGCACGCACACATGTAAATATGCACATACGCCACACACAAAATGCCATACACATATCACATACATGCACACACACACAGACACACAAAACCAACAACAGCAAGAAAACAGAGTTGATTTTTTTTTTTTTTTTTTACTTAAGCAGTCTTTAATGAAAGCAGTGCATGAGATGTCTCTACTCCTGCATCTTCTCAATCGTTTCTTCTTTGTATCTGCCCTTCTCCTTTCCTACTTGCCGGGACTTGGCTTTCCTCTCCAGGATCTTCTTGCGGTCCTTGTCCAGCTTTATCCTGGAGATAACTACCTTGCTGGGGTGGATGCCCACATGCACAGTTGTGCCGTTAGCCTTCTCTCGCTGGACTCGCTCAATGTAGATGACGTATTTCTTCCTGTACACTTGGACCACTTTGCCAATCTGCTGGCCTTTGTAGTGTCCTCGAACAACCTGAACTTCGTCATCCTTTCAAATGGGCATAGACCGAACATTATACTTCTGTCTCAGTTCTTTGGAAAGAGGGGAAGACATGATCTTCCTCCGAATGTGAGAAGGTGCATTGAAATGCCATTTGCTGTTCTTGCTTCGGTCAGAAGTCACGAAGGGATTGAATTTCATTTTGGCGGCTGCGATCCACCGATGGCTGCCCAGAGTTGTTATTTTAAAGCTATCTGCACAGCCTTACAGACATTAGTTAGAGTTTCGTTTCTTTGGTTTTGTTTTAGCCATATTAAGGTTTGTATTTTTTATTAAATTTTTTTTTCATTTTCTCCCAATTTTTACATACATTTACCATCTTTACCATTTTAATATATAGCTCAGTGGTATTAAATGCATTCATCATGTTGTACAAGAACATCCGCACCATCTACCTCTAGTGCTGTTTCCTGCCCAGCCTGAGAACGAAGGTCCTTGCTCACGCTGAGCTAGTGTTCTACCACTGAGCTATATCTCCATCCCTCTCTTTTTTCTTAAATTGCATTTATCTAGACTATGTCCTAGGCACACGCCAATGACACTCCTCTGGGGGTCAGAGGACAAGTTGCAAGAGTGAGTTCTCTCCGTTTACCATGTGATCCCCAGGGATCGAACAGTAAGCACCTTTACTTGACAAGCCACCTTGCCAGCCTTATTTTGCCTTTTTCTTTTGAGAGACACACTAAGTGGCAGGCTAGGCTTGAACCCATTCTGTATAACCCATGACCCATCTGGTCCTCCAATTTAGGATCCTCCTGCCTCAGCCTCCCCAGCAACTGGATGCATGGCTCTTTCATTCTGTGAAACTGAAAGTGTGTACCCATTAAACATTAACTGCATTATCGCCTCTCTTGATCTCTGGCCGCCACTGTCTCTACAATCCTGTCTACTCAAGTTATATCTGGAGCCACACAACATTTCTACCTTCGTTACTAGATTATTCTACTTAGTACCGTGTCCTCAAGGTCCAGCCACAATGCAGCATATGTTAGACTTACCTTCCTTCTAAAGGCTTAACATTTCAGTGTGTGTGTGTGTGTGTGTGTGTGTGTGTGTGTGTGTGTGGTATAAATGTGTGTCTGTGTGTGCACGAGTATGATATTTTGTTTATCTATCCATGTGCAGTGGGATCCTTGAGATCTGAACTTTCATCTTCTGGGGTAGATGCTCAGAAGCAAAATTGCTGGGTCATATACTAGCTCTGTTTTTACATTTGTGAGAAGCCACAGCAGTGTTTTCTATGCCAGCTGTACAGTTTTACATTTCTACCTACTAACATTGTTCAAGAAAGAGGTCCATTTTTCCATGTCTCCACCAAATTGTGGGAGGAGAGGGGGCAGTCCTGATGTATAAAGTGATATGTCATTGTTATTTTGATGTGTATTTGTTTAATGATTTATGATGCTTAAAAAACTTTTCCAGTGCTTATGGACCATTAACATAACGTCTTTGGAGGACATCTACTCAAGTCATTCCCATTTTTAATTGGTTGCAGTATTATTTTCTTCTGTGATGAACAAATGCCCACCACAAACAAATTAAGGGAGGAAGGATTTGTTTTGGCTCATGGTTTAGAGGTATCAAGACACATTTGAGAACAGGGCATAGAAGATAAGCTCGAGTCGTGGTGTCCAGGAAGCAGACAAAGCTGTGCATGGAAGGCATGCATGTACTAAGCTGGCTTTCTTCCTTTGTCCTCTTTTATTATCTGACCCCCTCGGCCTGGGTAGACAGTTTCCCACATTCAGGATAGGTCTTTAGCCCAAGTGTGACCATCTTCAAACGTCCTCAAACTGTACCCAGAAGTATGTTTAACCACCTCAAAGTTATTCTAAATGCATCTAAGTTAACAATCAAAATTAACCCTTTGTCTTATACACTTTTTCTGTTGCTGTGATAAAAATAACCTGGCCAAAGCAAATTAGTAGCAAGGGTTTGCCCTGCTTCAGGTAAGTTCCCAAATTAGGTTGTTGCTTTGATTTCTTTTTCGTTTAGGGGCTTTCTACAACAAGAGCTTGCTATGTAAACTTGACTAGAACTTTGTATGTAGACTAAATTAGCCTTGAACCTGAAGTGGGTCCTCCCACTTCTGTCTCCCGCTGGGATTACAAGTGCGAGGCAGCACATCTGGCTTCTTTTTTGTTTTATTTTAGCATAAGCCATTACAGCTATAAATTTCTCATTACCTCTGCCTATGCTGCATTTTATAGGTCTTGCTTGGTAGGTTGTGCCTTCAGCTTCATCGGTTTATTTTTCCTTTTAATTCTTTTAGGGTTTTTCTCCCTATGTTTTGAAGGATCTAATATTAGGTTAATAATTATTATATCTCTTACCTTCATTGAACTTTTTATTAATGTATAATATCCTTCTTTGTCTCTTGACAACTTTTTGATTTAAAGTCAGTTTCATGTGACATCCATATGACAACTCTTGCTCTTTTTAAGTGTCTTTTTGGTGATACATTCTTTTCTGTCCTTTGATTTTCATACCTATTTGTTTATTTAGGTCTGAGAAGAGTCCCCTTAGGCATCATTTGGCTGGACTATGTCTCATCTGCGCTAAAATCTCTAGATATTGGTTGGAGTATTTACTCTTTACATGTAAACTAATCACTGAGGGGTCTCTTCATTTTGCTGTTTATTTGCAATTTATCTTTGGTTTTTTTTTTCCTGTATCACCTTTTTAATTTGCCTTTTGTTGAATTTTATAGTGGAATATTTAAGTTCCTTTCGTATTTTCTTTTATATACATTTTATTGCTATGAGCTTTGTGATTACCATAAGAATTACATTCAACGTGCTAAAGTCATAACACTCTAATTTGAATTTATAACACCTTCTGTAATGTACAAAGACTTCTGTTCCTTTGATAGCTGTTTCCCGGACTTGTTTTTTTTTAACATTTATTTATTTGTTTGTTTATTTATTTAGTATACTTATACAAAATAAATTCACACAGTATACAACCCACATGGGTTCCAGAGACCAAACACAGGTCCTCAAGCTTGGCTGCAAGGACTTTACCCACTAAGCCATCTTGTTGTCCCTGTGCCCCACCTCTTTTTTCTTGTTTGTTGGGACAAGATTGTAATACGAGTTCCCTAGGTAATCAAGGCTGGCTTCGAACTCATAGAGAACTACCTGCTTCTGCCTTCTAAGCGCTGGGACTCAAGACATGCCACCATACACCTTTTTCTTTTTGATATCACAGAATTATGTTTTTTTTAGAAACTTTGTGCCCACAAACAGAAACTAATCATTCTCTTAAATAATGTTGGGGGAAAAAAATCTTACAAGCCAAAGTTAAATAAACACCAACTTTTCTCATTGTCCATATAGTTATCGCTCTTGCATCCTTCTTTCTTCAGATAGTTTTGAGTTACTGCTAAGGTCCCTTAATTCACTCTGAAGAGTTCTCCTGAGCATTCTTACAAGATGAGCACACCACATTCTTTTAGCTAGGAATTTCTTCACTTCCCTCTTACTTTAGAGGACATTGG